CCTGGCACCAGGGGTTTGGAACCAAGACGTGCATGGCCGACCCTGGGGGAAGCAGGCCCCACAGTCCTGTTTTTACAGCTGAGGACGCATCCTTCCGGAAAGCTGGGGGGCCAGCGAGAGTAGAAGCCTGGCTTCCAACCCGAAAGGGGAAGAGAGGATAGCCTGGGCCCGTCTCCCAGTCCCAGCCCACAGCACCCCTCTGTGCTGGGCAGCCATTGTCCCCTCAGTCTCCCTGAGAATGGGGGGAGCGGCCCAGCTCTGATACCCCAGGCCAGTGGTCGGCAAACTCATTCGTCAACAGAGCCAAACATCAACAGGACAACGATTGAAATTTCTTTTGAGAGCCACATTTTTTAAACTTAAGCTATATAGGTAGGTACATTGTTATTAACTTAATTAGGGTACTCCTAAGGCTTAGGAAGAGCCACACTCAAGGGGCCAAAGAGCCGCCTGTGGCTTGTGAGCCGAAGTTTGCCGACCACGGGCCTAGTCCATTTTACAAAAGAAGAAACTGAGTCACAGAGCAGTTCGGAGCTCACCTCAGGTCACGCAGCGGGGCGAGCTGGAGCAGGGTGTGCACCTGGCAGAACCGCTCCCGTCTGTGCCAGGAACCACCTTCACGGTGCGGGTGTGAGCCTGAGGCCCCCAGGGGGCCCTGGGGAGCCGGAGGCTCAGTGCTCACATCCAGCCTTTCCCAAACCGCTGGTGGGCCAGGCACACGACCTCTGACCTCGTCGGCCAGGCCCGCCCCTCCCGCAAGGTCAACACAGGAGTGAGGGGGTGGACGGAAGTGGAGGAGGGGGTGGAGGATAACTGGTGATGGAAATAAATAAATAAATAAATAAATAAATAAATAAATAAAAACACAGGCGTGAAACCGATGATGACAGGGATAGTGGCATCCCTCCGACTCACTGACTGTAAGAAAATAATTTCCAACATCTGAGCACTTTACTACTGTCACAAACTGACAATGAGTCTCCCCTGCAGGCTGGGAGGGCCAGTCCTGAGCTTCCAGAGGAATGGGGGGTCCAGACAGAGGACGGGACGGGTGGGAGCCCCGTTACTGAGCGCCTGTGGCCACCTGGCCCTACGCAAGGCTGAGAGTGACCCAGGAAAGCTGCGTGGGGCTCCCCGCTCCCAGAGTCATTCACCTGAAAACAATTCGCGAGTGGCCCTGGGCGGCCCAGGCCCATCCCAGCCGGGGGACTCACTGTCCACTGTCCTCAGAGAAGGAAACAGTGACTGACCGTGTGGTCGGGGCCCCAGGAGGCTGTGGGCGCCCAGGGAAGACGCCTTGCCCAGCCTGCCGCCCAGGAAGACTTGCTGGAGGCCGTGGTACCTCAATGGGTAGAAGGGCCGTGAGGTGCACGGAGTAGGTTTCGGGGGACCCCAGTGGGTGTGCTGGAGCCTCCAGAGTAGGACCCAGCTTGCTGATGCGCTGCCCTTGCTCAGCTCCCATTCCGGCTGCCCAGTGGGGCCGCGCGTGGTGTCTGGCGCCCCCTGGCGGCGCCCCGTGGGAGGTTCGGAGTCAGGGCGGTGCTGGCTCTATGGGAACGCGCCCACCCCACGGAGGACTTTCGCAAGTTCCGTAGGAGTCTGAAGAAGGAGAATGGACTTTTATGTAGAAGAACCCATCTTAGCATACAACTCTGATATATCTGTTTTCATATCGAAGCAGTTGTAAATGGTGTTAATTATTTATTAATATTATTCTTAACGGAGGAAGGGTCCCATAAGGGCAGAAGTGCCCGGGCCCAGGGAAGTCACACTGCGGGCTCCTCTGCGCCTGCCCGCTCTGACCCAGGCCCTCCAAGGTCCCATGGTGAGAGGTTGGGCCCACATGGATTACCCAGGGTCATTTCTCATCTCCAAGGCCATCCCCGTAGTCACCTCTGCAAAACCCCATTTTGCCATGTAAGGTGGCGTGTACTCACAGGATTGGGGGGGGAGGGGGGGGTGGACACCTGTGGGGCCGTTAGTCTGCCCACACCCTTTCTTCTCAGCGGTCTTTCAATGTGCGCGTCACTTCTTCGAAGAAAACATTTTCATTGTCATGGCAAATGTGGCTAAACCAGAATTTTTATCAAGGCTTTAAAATCATTTTATTATTATTATTATTATTATTTTGTTAATCCTCTCCTGAGGATATTTTTCCAGGGCTTTTCTGAGAGAGTGGAAGGAAGGAAGGAAGGAGCGGGTGAGAGAGAGAAACATTGATGTGAGAGAGACACGTCAACTGGTTGTCTCTTCCAGCCAGGGCCAGGGAGCAAACCCCCAACCCTGGTACGTGCCCTTAATCGGGAATCAAACCCGAGACCCCTCGGTGTGCGGGCCGATGCCCTAACCACTGATCCATACCAGCCAGGGCCAAATCATTTTTATCTGTGTATAGAGAAGTGCATAAGTTGCCATTGCAGGCAGGGAGGAGTGGCCGGGGAGAGGTCAATGGGGGAAAAAGGAGACATATGTAATACTTTCAACAATAAAGAATTTACATTTTTAAAAAATCGCTGTTGCAGCTTGATTTTTACAAACTGACCACACACACCCATGTAATCAGCACCCAGATCAAGAAACAGAGCATGCCCTGCGGCCCCAGGAACCCTGCTCATGCCCCGTGAGTCCCAAACAGAACTCCAGGCCTGTTGACATGAAAACATTCCCTATGGGACATCACCTGGCGTGCACTGAAATAAAAAGGAGGGAGGAGGGGGCCCAAGTGACGTCCATGTATTCATTCAGCAGATATGTCCTGGCACCTGTCCTGGGCCGGGTGCCAGGAAATATGGGCTCGTTGATCCGATGCTGGTCCTATGGCACAGTCTATGGAGGCAGCCATGGGGTGAGCGGGTGCAGGAAGGGAGTTTGGGAAGCGGATAGGAACACAGTGCGTGGGCCAGACCCAATCAGATGGCTGCCCAGGGAACGCGGCTGGGACGGTGAGCACAGTAGTGAAGACAGGATGTGAAGCAAGGGGAACAGCTGAGCAGAGGGAGGGATGCGGGAATAGCTGGGACTCATGAGTTTGGGAAACAGGTGGGCTCTGGCTATTGGACATGCCGGCCTCTGAGCCTTGCGCAGACCTTTCCACTTCCCACTTCCCCCAGCTCCAATCTCAGCTGTGCAGACTCAGAACTGGAGGCCTAACCCTCAGGCCTGTGCCCCATTTTACAGGTGGGGACACAGGCCTAGAGGAGAGAGATATATACCCACGGCCCATCATTCACTTCACTAATTCCCCCCTCACTCCGCGCTTCTTTACAGAGCACCCCCCACCCCCACCCCAGTCCCCAGCCCCAAGCCTAGCACTCGGGACCCAGACATGGGCACAGAATGAGAGGTGAGGCCTGAAGCAGGAAGGCTCTTTGAGGAGGTGACACAGGGGTCTCCCAAACCTGAGGAAGTGAGTTTTACAAGGAATGGGAGGAGGGACAGGGTGGGGCCTGGAGGCAGGACTGTCCTTGCTGGGTCTGAGGAATGGAGGCTAGTGTGCCTGTGGGGATGACTGGAGATTCAGGTAGCTGGGACCCAGCTCTGTCCCTCCCTCTCCATCGCCCCCTGTCCTTGCAGTGGGCCACCAGGGGTGCGATCTGGGGGAGGCCTCTGGCTGCTTCACCGAGGTCTTCCTCTGTCTGCAGATGCCAGTACATGGATGGATGCCAGGCCGGACCTTGACCTTCATCGGGATCACATGCCCAGCTGACCTCCTACCTCCTCACCCTCACCCCCCTCAGCCCTACTCAACCCTCAGGGCACACCCCCATAAAGCACAACTGAGGTAACAGGCTCATAGCCCTTGGCCACTCCTGCGCTATGCCAGGTGGAGCAGTCAGTGTGGGCGGGGATGGCTTTGCCATCGTGCTGCCTTGAGACCTCTTTTTTTTTTGTTAATTCTCACCAGAGGATATTTTCCCATTACATTTTTTTTTGAGAGAGTGGAGGGAAGGGGAGAAACAGAGAGAAACATTGATGTGAGCGACACATGGATTGGTTGCCTCCTGCACACACCCCGACTAGGGCCAGGAATTGAGCCTGAAACCAATGTATGTGCCCTTGGTCGGATTCGAACCCAGGACCCTTCAGTAGAGGACCGATGCTCTATTCGCTGAGCCGAAGTGCCTAGGGCTGGCCCTGAGACCTCTCCATGGGGGATGGGTGTGACCCATTTCTGGGTTCTTCCAGGAAGTTCTCAGCGAAACTAGTCTTTGCAACTTGGTGGCGAGAGGGAGGTTGACAACGGGTGGGAGGGTGACAAAGCCAATCTCGCGCGGGGCAGCAGCAGGAAGGAGGAGGCCGGGGTAGGAGGCCGGGAAGCTGTGATGGGCGGGGCTCAAGCTGCTGGAGGCGTTCAGGAGCGGAGGTGGGTCTAAGAAAAGGCCGTGGGGCCAGAGCCTGGGGAAGGTGAGTAGCCACCGGGGTGCGGGGGCCAGGCAAGGTCCGGAGACCCTGGATTGGGGTTCGAGGCGGGATCGCAAGGACCATTTGAGGAAGAGAGTGGTCGGCGGAGGCACGCCTCTCGGAAGTGGGCGGGGCCAAAGAAGGAGCGGGTGGGAGGGTTGCGGGGGAAGGGACCGGCCGGCGCGGACTCGGGGCGGAGGAAGCCGGGCAGGGGACGGGCCTGGTAGGAAGGGGCGGGGCCTGGAGAATCGGGGGCGGGTCAGGGAAGCCGGAGGTGAGTCGGGAAGTGGCCCGGAGGCCGTGTGGGCGGGGCCTGGTGGTCCGCGCGGGGCGTGGAGACGGGGCGGGGCCTAGAGTGTGGGGCGGGGCCTAGAGTGCCAGGGCGAGGCCTAGAGGGCGGGGCGAGGCCTAGGGTGTGGGGCGGAGCCTAGAAGGATGGGCGGGGCATGGAGGGCGGGGCGAGGCCTAGAGGGCGGGGCGGCCGGCGGCCCTGAGGCGCGCGGGCGGAGGCGGCGCGGAGTTGCGCTCGCCTCACTGGGCTCAGCGGGCGGCGGCGGCGGCGACGCGCACAAAGGCGGTTGTGGCTTCTCTGGCGCTCGGGGCGGGCGGCGCCGGGGCGGGGGCGGCGGGGCACGCCGGGTGTCCCCGCGGGCGCGGCGCGGGCGATGAGCCGGGGCCCGGCATGGCCTCTGCGCGGCCGCCGGGCTGGGCCTGCGCCTCGGCGCCCGCGCCCGCGGGGCTCCGGGTCGGGCCACCTGTCCTGCCCGCCGCCGCCGCCCCCGAGCCTGCGGGCAGCGCCGAGGCCGAGGAGCGCTCGCTGCAGCGCATGCTGCGCGCCATTGCGGAGGAGCGCGGCCGCCTCAGCCTGCGCCGCGAGGTCTGCGGCCTCGGTGAGTGCGGCCGGCGGGCGGCGGGGCCGGAGCTGGGGCGGCGGGGCCCGGCCGGGCCGGGCTGTGCGCGCCTCCGGTGTCTGCGCGTCTCCGTCCCGTGCGTGTCTCTGTCTGTCTCTGTCCCTGCGCGTGTCTGCGGGGCGCCCTGCGTGTCGTGTCCCCTCCTGCGCCCCAGGTCCCCGCGCCGGGTCATCCCGTGCCCCTCTGCCTCCGTCCCCGACGTGGGTCCCCCGAGCGGCTCCCGGCTCTGCTCCCCGTCGCTCTCTCCATTTCCCGGGTCATCGGTGTCTCCTTCGGCTCGTCTTCTTCCTTCCGTGGCGCTGCCAGGCCCCTTCCTGCTCCAGGAAGTCCTCTCGGGGCCTCGGGGAAGCCGCAGGGAGTGTGGACGCTGCATTTGGGGAGCCCCTCAGCCCATCACTGCAGAGCCGGGGCCCCGCGGGCTCTGGCCGACCTTCCAGCCGACACGGAGGCCACGTCCCGGCTTCCCGAGCCTTTGTCCTCCTGCTCTTGCCTGGCCCTTCGCTGTAACCGGGGACCTGTTGGGCTGTGGTCCCCTGAACGCCCCCCCCCACACCCGCGCGGCAGAGGGAGCAGGGCCTGCGGCCCCTCGGGGTGCGGTTCTGCTCCCAGGAGGGCCCAGGTCACGGACGTGCGGGGGGGGGGGGGTGCCCCGTGTTGTTGGAAAGAGCCTGGGACTGACTGCAGGTGTGTGTGTGGGGGGGTCTCGGGCTTGGCGGGTGTGAGGTCATCGGTGCCGATGGATCCGGAGGAGCCCCCCCCCCCCCCCCCGTGGTGTGGGGTTTGCCATTTTCTGCGGAAAGACCCCTCCCTTCTCCATGCGGGAATGACTTCATAGCACGTTGTCTGCCGCCCCCACCCCACCCTCGTCCCGCGTCTGGGCTGGGGATTTCTGAGGAGGCGACAGCAGCGTGGAGAAGGCATGCCAGCCTGGGAGCTTTCGCCAGCTCGCCCTTCATTCACCCCTGGGGAAACTGAGTCCCAGGGAGCCCCCGCAGCCCCCTTACAGTCACAAGGCAGCAGGGACGTGGCAGCCCCGGGGGCCCAGGCCCCTCCGCAGGCCACACCCTGGAGGGTGGGTGAGGAGAGGAAATGAATGCCAGTCCTTTGTGTCAGAGGCAGGCTGAGGCTAAGACACTGCTCTGGGAGCAGGTCCCCGCTGCCGCCCTGGAGTGAAGCTTTGCTCCTGTGCGGGTGGGGGTGGGGGTGAGGGTGGGGTGCCTACAAAGTGGGGGTGAACAAGGACATAGGTTTCTTTTCTGAAAAGTGTCGCAACGTAGTTTTGAGCAGAAATGGAAGTCTCCGCGATAATTCATTCAGCAGACATTCGCTGAGCACCTACTGTGTGCCAGGCTGAAGGCCCACCTGTCACCTGGCCCAGAATGTCTGAAATGGGAGGGGTCTGAGGGACCATCTGCTCTAGCCCTTCAGCCCTTCGCTCAGCAGCTCCGGGCAGCCCTCCCCTCTCCCCTGTCCAGGTGCTCCCACTGCCCTCTGACCCCTGAGCACCTCCCTGCTGTTAGTCCCCACCCCCAGGAGCCCGAGGCCATCCCCTAAGAGCAGTAACAATTTGCTCCAGCAGCTGGCATTCGCTGAGTCCTTACCCTGTGCCAGGTGCCTCCTGTGTGCTGTCAGTTTGCTACTGGAATCTTCTTTCCATGTCACCCAAGAGGTGCCTGAGGTTCAGAGAGGCAAGAGACTTGCCCGGGGACAACCAGTGAGGCTATGTATGGCACAGCTGGGATTGACCCTCAGTCAGTCTGACCCCAGACCCTACCCCCCCTCCCCCCATGCCCCAGCCAGGCCTTGCTGCACCTACTGTGCTGCACCTGGTGAGAACTGTCCCCTGGTCATGGGCCGAGGGCAGAGCCTGCTGGTCATGCGATTACTCTGTCCTCCCCCGGCCTCCAGTCCTCCCTCCTCACAGGAACCCCTGTCTTACCCCTCACCCTGCCCCATACTCGCCTGAACTCGGCCCTGCTCTGATGCGCTGCACCCTTAGGCCTGCCGTTTTCTCCACCCGCAAGGCCACCCCTACTTACCTGCCCTGCAAACGCCTACAGGTCTCCCCTCGAGCCTCAGCTCCAGCGATGCCCCCGGGAGCCCTTCTGCCTCTCCCTGCCCCACTGCCTGTGCCCGTGGACTGGGTACGTGTCCGCTGTTCGCTCAGGGTGATTATGGCGCCGTAATGCTCTGTGTGGCTTTCCCCTAGTTACCAAGGGACCCCTGCCGGGCACTGCCCAGTCTGAGTCTCCTCCGTGTCCCGCACAGGCCCGTGCAGAGCAGCGGCCCAGTAAATATTTAGCCAGCAAACGCGAGAACTGATTTCTGGGCTGGGAAGTGAAGGGTATGGATGGCAAGGAGAACGGAACCCTAACCTCCTAGAAGGGTTCGTGTTCCTCGTCTCTCATTCCTCAGATGAGAAATGGGATGTTCAGAAAGGGGCAAGCTTAGTCATGACCTCATGCCTGAAGTAGAGAGAGCACCCAGCCCGACCCCAGAACGCAGGCCCCGAGCCACGTACATCCATCCAGTGGCTCAGGAAACCCTCTGTCTCCACGCTACAGCTGTGGCAACCTGTTACATTTGGGAATGAATGGAAACCTCACGGATTTTTGTTGTCGAACTCAAGCGCAGGTTATTCCGAACTGTGCCGTGTTCTCTGCGGTTGTTTTGAAAGTGTCCGGGCGGCTGTGGTGGAGACGCCTGACGCTGGACAAGCTGTTGTGTTTCTGAGTCACAGTGTGTGTCTGTGAGCCGGGAGGAGGGACCGCCCCCTGCAGCTGGCTGTCAGGATGAAAGGCACCTTGTAGAGCCAAACCTGACTCAACAGCACCGCAGTTTGGAGTACTTGCTCCGTGCGGGAGCGGAGCGGCCCTGACCCCGGCCTGGCGGGAGGCACAGTGAGCGGGGGAGAAGCCAGGCGCGCAGGTGACGGTGCTGGAGCCAAGGCCCTGCTGGAAGCAGCCAGGGCTGTGGTCCTCCTGGCAGGATCTCGGTGTTTGTCCACAGGAAGCTGCTTGTCATTCCAGGTAGCGGATGAGCCACGCCGGCGGGCTAAGGTCGCGTCTGTGGGCCTTCCGGATCTCAGCTGGGAAGCATGAGGGGGCCAGTGCCCAGATGTGCGATGCAGACATCTGGACCAGAGGAGGCTGTCACCTGACCCTCCTTCTGGGGCCTGGGCCTTCTCATGGGCCCGGGACATCAGTCCAGGCGTGCTGTGCGGCGGCTCCCTTCCAACAGGGGCAGCAGGACACTGACGCTCGGTCAGGCCACGTGGCCATGGCCTGGCCACCGGAGCGTGTGAGGGTGGGGCCTCCATCACGCTGGTTGTCTTTGGGTCCTGCGTGGGGTGGGCATTTCTGGGCTGTCACCTGCTGTTAGATAGCCTGGGGCATCTATGTTTGTAAGGCTGTGGGGCGAAAGGCGTGTTTTATGTTCACTATTTCCTTTTGTCCTCAAGATAATCTTACCCGGTATAGGGCACTCTTCTTTGCTGATAAGGAAACAGTTATAGAGGTGAAGTAACGCGTCTCTGGGTCCATGGCCGGTAACGCCAGAATCTGTCCGAGCCCAGGCTCTTAGCAGAGGTGAGGCCCCCCACATCTGTCCTCTGGCGCTGGCAGCCCGGCCATACAGGTGTGCACAGCTGCCTGGCATAGGCTGGATTGGGGAAGGGCCCAGGCTGAGGTATGAGGGTGTGTGTTGTAAATGTTTCCCTCCACGTCCCGCGTGGTTCAGGGTTCAGGATCTGGAAGAGGAGCCGCACACAAATGAAAGAGAAGAGACGAGATAATTTGGAAATATTGGGGGGCCAGGCGGGTAAGTCCAACTCAAGGGGAAGGACTTTCACTGGTGCTCAGGCTGCACCAACCTTTTATTGGTTTGGGATCCACCCATAGTATAGCCCTTAGGCAGGCAAGTTCCGGTAACACACAGACTATCTTATCAATAAGGATTTACATGAGTAAAGGTGGGGAAGTTGCTTCAGCTACCATTATCTGGACTAACAGAGGTGGTGCACAGCTCTGACCTTTGCTAGGGCTTCAAAGGTCACCAGCCTTCCCGGTTCTCTGTCTACACTTCTCTGCCAGTGAAGACAATAGGCGGTTTCCCACAGGTGTGCCTATTGGGGGGCCCAGAGAAGGGAGGCTGGGGGAGGGGGATGTGCAGTGTGTGGCCTTTGAGAGGGACCGAGGCAGGACAGACGGGCTGGACGGAGGAGGACAGGCTGATGCGGCTTGCAGGGTGGTTTGGGGCCCCGAATGCCTGGCTGAGAATTCGAATTTTCTTGGTCGGACCTTCAGGAGCTTGTTGGGTGTTTGATTTGTGGGGTGGCCGGTACCAGAGGGGCGGTGAGCACAGAGGATGCTGCCCGCCTGCGTATGCCCACCGCTCTGTGCCTGCGGCAGACCTCCCGTGCCGAACTGCTGTTCTTACCCATTTTGCGGATGAGGAAACCAAGCTTCAGGAGGAAAGTGACTCACCCAAGGTCAGGTAGCCGGGAGGTGGCAGAGCTGGGAGCCATGAGGCTCCAGCTGAGGCCGGTCAGATGCAAATAGCCATTTTTCAGAGAGTTCGTGGAATGAGCCAGAAGGAATGAAGGGGGAACTGCCTCCCCATGAGCCTCTCCTGGGTGCTGAGCACCTGCCACCACCCTGTGAATGGGGAAAAGGACACACGCCGTCGGCCTGGCCCTTGTTTTGCAGGGGGCAGCGGCGCTGGGTGTAAGAGACAGGGACCTGTGGCTGGAAGGGAAGCCTGTGGGGCCCAAACAGGTCGCCCGTCAAGGCCTCTGTGTCCTCATCGGTAAAGTGGACACAGTGAAGTCTAGAGGCTCATGGGGTTGTAGAAGTGACAGGCACAGCCTCGTGGCAGCGCGAGGAGTAAATGAGACACGGCAGGTACAGGGTCGCCCCTAATGCTGCTGTTGTCATAAAGGATACAAGACATGTGCACGCGCCTGGAACTAGGGTTGGGTT